AGGCCTCAAAGGGGGAGGGGGGGTCGAGGGGTCTGGTGGAAAGCTGGTTCGGAGAAGGGGACGGGTGGATAAGGGACGGTAGATGAGGGGGTCGAAGAAATGGAGGGGATGGTTAAGGGGGTCATAGTAGTGCGTAGGGGGGAGGGGAGTAAGAAGAGGATGTTCAGTACATGTAATTGTAGGTGGGGGCGGGGGAAGTTGAACGTGGGACCAGTCCTTTTTGAAGGGCGATTCGCAGTAGAGGTATGTAATTTGTAAAACAACAAATTGTGGTGGGTCGGGTGGGAAGTGAAGGAAGACAATGTCAATTCCAGGGAACAATGGGTTTTGCACCTACTTAAAAGCTGTGTTATGGCGCAATTTGAGATTCATATTATTATAACGCAGATAAGCTCTTCTACATTCAGCTCAGCCTTGCTGTCCACGCAAAGAGCCCGAGACAATTACGGGCCAGGTTATGGAGGCGTCGCAGCCGTCTTTCACTTAAACGAGGATAGCAGTGCATTTGTGGTGTGTGTGTGTGTCTGTGTGTGTGTGTGTGTGTGTGTGTGTGTGTGCGTGTGTGTGTGTGTACGTGTGTGTGTGTGTGTCTGTTGGAAGAGGAGAGTCTGTCCTTGCATTTAGTATATTTTTCACTGGTTTTGGGGTTGTTGGTATTTTTTTGTCTTTTTTTGTGCTTTTTTAAGGGGGGGGGGGATGAAACCTATACACGACCATAAGTTCAGCCAATTCCAAATTCAGAATCTTTTATAACATAACCTGCAGGGGGTACCTTTATTCCACACGTTTTAGAGCTTAAAGAATAGATTTGAAAATTCTGACAAAACGCGTCATCAATGTGTTTTCATCTGACGGTCTAGATTGTTGCTCTTCTTTTACTATGTGTTCCGTTTCAGTACTGTGGGCAAAGAGGAAAATTTCAGCGAAGAAGATGGAGAGACACAGACTCATTTTAAGGGAAGATTTTTTAAACAATAATGTGGAAGATTTTACTCTCCCATCGTCACAATTTAAATCATTTAGGAGGCGGGCTTCCGACCGTGTTTATTAGTTAGGACCATACCCAGCATGTGACGGACTCAACATTTCCAGCAGAACGACCGAGGTACTTGATACAAATGTCTCCCTACTCGAGAATTGAACTCGGGTCTCCTGCTTGCGACAACAAAGTGCCTAACCGCTTCACCAAAGATGCCAGTTTTAGAAGAAAGGAAGGTCATGGTGGAAGAGGATGAGAAGGTGGAGGAGGAAGATAAAAATGAGGTGTCGGTTGATAAATAACAACAGCAACTACAGCAAAACGACAAAATATACAACAACAGCTCCAGCAACAACAGCAAAAGGATTCACACACACACACACACACACACACACACACACACACACACACACGCACGCACACACACACACGCACACACACAACAGCAGTAACAATATTCAACAATATACGAGCCCATCTACGCATACGTCACGAACAATATTATGAAGGACCAGAATTAAACAGAACAGGTACGAGAAGAAGAATACGACAAAGAATAGAAACCAGAAAGGAACAGGACGTACATATCTGGAGATCATAATCAAGAATTAACTCGTGCTATTGTGCCACTAACAGGCAATATTTAACAGCAAAAGCGATTCTTATATAACTGAATCTCGTGCTGCCAAATGTTTCTTTAACTTCTCTCAATTGGAATGAGTTATTAACATGTTCAAGCAAGAGTGCAAGATAAAGCAAGCTTGGTGTAGAAGGTGGGGTGGGGGGG